TGTGAAAAAGGAGCTTGACGCCTGTTGTCCTAGGTTGTTATGGAAACATACACAATGACCATTGGTCTCGCCTTCCTGCTTCGTTGTTAGGAAAAAGATAATCATTGATCTATGATTACGGTTGTTAGAACCAAGGGAGGAAGAGAACCGTACAAAACATTGATCTTAACTTATATTCACCATTTTCTTTGAAAGTATGTGTGAGTTCCACAAAAAAAGGATAAAATGAGAAACTGAGATTAATTCGGTATTATTGAAATTATAAGAAGACAGCTATTTTATTTTGTTGTTTAACTTCAAATCTTTAAATTTTCTCTTACAGTTCTTATAAGATTATAGCAGATGCTAGAATATTATTTACCATGGTAAACATAGTTTGATAATATGTAGCAAAGAACTATTAGATGACATCCATGGAGTCAAAACTCAAAAAAATTCATGACTTGCATGAATTTTAAATCAAAATCATGCAATAAAATTGATGAAAATGTCTATTTTAATCAACGACATAGAAATACATCGATTTTAGTGTCCATTTCATCGTCCGAAATGCTTTTTTAAGTCCATAGATATATTCCTACGAAACCTTATTTTACTTTTATTTCAATAGAAAACCATACAACTACACAATTAGAACTACATTTAGACCAGTGATGGAATCAATACCGGTTACCGACCAGTCCCGTACCAGTACAGATTTTAGACCGATCGGTTGCCGGTAGACCAATCGTTACTGGTGTGTTTTATTTATTTTTTTTGCTCTTATTATCTCATAGTGGATGTGTAAAGAACCTCTATCGAAGATTGTCTACGTCAAATATCACTATCCACAGATTGAATGGTACGACAACTCATCTGTTCAGTATCAGTATGTACTGCGGACCAACTAGTCTGCTTCGGTCTGATCTATTCAGACTGATTCCATCTCTAGTAGAGAAAAACGTTCACATGTGTATATATGGCACGCATCTAGGGTTAACAAGGGAAAGAGAGAGCGAGAACACAATAAAGAAATATCATATTGAGGGATAAGAAAGATGTGAAAAGTAACATCTATAACAAGAAAAGTTCTTCATTTAAATTTTCATCGGATTTCATATGTGAATTCTTTAGCGATTGTGCTAACAGCTTTCGGTATCAATATAATAATTAGTTTTGTATTTATGTTTTCAAGTGTAACTTTAAATTTTTTGTTTGAACACGTCAAAAATAAATTATATTCCATCTATTTTGATATCATTAATATAAAAAACTACAAAACGTGATAATTATAATTTCTCAAATAGCTTTTTTTTTTTGTTTTAAATATTAATATAAAATTTTTATTTTATTCGCATATATAAAATAAACTCAATATCATCATAATAAAATGACGTTTCTTATCTATGTTTTAAAATTTTCTATTCTTATACATATATCTGCAAGTTCTTATACGTATGGAATAATTCATAATGCATCAATTAAAATTCCTTTTGATATACCTGATAATCTTGGTCATGAATTACAAGTTCAACGTTGTGATCAATGTCTTTGTGATGCATTTAGTAATCCTAAGGTAGTTTTATTAACCTGTACTGAAAATGGATCAATGAATTTTACTTGCCAATTTTATTATTTTATGCCTAAAAGAGATGAAATTCAATATCCAAGAAATGATACAAAAATATATTTAATACAAAATATAACATTTGAAGAAAAAGATGACTGCTGTAATACAACATATCTTATTGAAAAAATTGATGCAGCATTAAATTTTAAAAAAGCCGTTTTTAACAAAACCTTACGTTTTCTTGTTCGTGGTGATAATAATATGATAGTTTCAACATCTAACGACAAATTAATTAAATTTGATAGATCAAAACTTGAAATAGTCGATGTATCAAGTATTCCAGATTCTAGCACTGTTGGTTATTATGATAAATATTATTATCTTGGTAAAGACAATACAATACGAGTTTATAATGAAGCATTAATTTCAAAAATAACAGAATTTCCAGTTAGAAAGGGTTTAACAACTATTCGTTTTCTTAATGATAAAGAAATGCTTGTAGGTACAGCTTCATCAGGTGGATTTATTTGTGAGAAACAACAAGAAATATTTGATAGGTGTATAAGTACTCCTGTAGTACCTGCGATTGGACAATTACATGCATTTGGTATTGTTGATGAAAACACATTTTATGCTGGTTGGTATGCAAACAATGAGAATCTTCGTTTATATACGAAAGACCAGAATAATTCATGGAAAGAAAATACAAGTGGTACTATTACTCAAAATGAGGCAACATCAGATATTGTTATTGATGATTGTAAACGGATATGGGCAGTTATACCAGAAGAGAACAAAATATTTATCTATGATCAAAATAAAACTCATCCGCATAAAATTACATTTGATTCAAAGATATTTAATCTTTTCATTCTTGACAATTATACATTTGTTACGTCGCATGAAACTGAACCTGGTTTGAATCTTATTCAACCATCTCTGAATTGTCGTAAACCACGTTAAAAAGATAATTAGTATATTTGTATCGGAATAAATTTAATAATTTATTCAATAAATTGAAATAAATCGATATTAAAAATTTATCATTCAAAAAACTATAAAAATGCGTTTTTTAGAATAAACTTAATGATATAGAATGAAAACAACATTCGCTAGTTTATTATACTAGATAGAACCTGATCATCATTGCCATCTTAAAAACTATTATAAAATTCTAATATATATATATATATATATAATTATAGATAAAAATCATTTTGGCACCAATATACATTTCAACATGTACAGGGTGTAACAGAACCTGTACGGCCTGCTCTCCTTTACAATCTAATGAATCAATGATATAATCAACTACTTTATATCAGATTAAGGTCCATCAAAAACTGCATCTAAGGATGTAATTCGAGTAAATAGTAGCTAGGCAATTATTAAAATAGCTTGCATCACATATCCAAATGTCGTAAATTATACAATCAAGAGTCTAAGAAAGAACTATTACGCCTCTTTCTTCACGCATAAATTACTTGTTGATGGATTGTATTTTACATCCGTTTGAAAGGATATTAAATCTGTATTCCACTGTAGCAGTCTTACCTACTTGATGTATTTCTCGTTCGCAATTATTATGTTCGGCTCTTACGAAGCATGTGTACGAACTGGGTAATGTGTTTGTTTTTCATTGAAAAGGACTCACTACCCATCACTAACAACGAAGAGGAGAAACAGAGAAAAGAATGAGAAGCAGATTACGTGTACATATATTACACAGACAGATAAGAGAAGAATGTAGAGAAAAGAGAATGAATAACCGTGGGTACTGTTTCAAGTTTTGTCATTTCTTTCCTTTATTGTATGTTTCTTGTTCGTGCAACTAACTGTTTCAATACCATTAAAAGTTGAATTAAATATTATTAAAATTAAAACAAGCCTGTGACACATCAATTTAGTGAATCAAAATGGCTAGTCTTCTTCATGACTCAGAAGAGCAATGATTTGTGGATAGAATTCGTTGTATCACGTATCGTGAGATAGGCGATGAAATGATTGCAACAACAGAAAACTCATTTATCACTCGTCAATGGATTTCCGAAAACTCCGCCGTAGCGAAGATTGAGTAAGGTGATATTGGAATAAATCAACTGAGTAGTGTTATACACAATTTCGAGGTGGTCGACCTCAGGTACTCTCCCAAGAGAGCAAAAACATTATTACTTCTGCAAGTAGTATGAGAGAAAGTGGCTCTCGAAAGGTTGCAAGAGAAATTTTGGAGAAAACAAGACAGCGAGTGAGTCATATGACTGTTCATCGTGAACGCCATCGACAAGGATTAAAACCTTTCCATGTGATCGCAAAGCCATCGAAGACAAATACGCATATTGAAGATCGCAAATTTTGTTGTTGATTGGACTGAAGAGGATTTTCTACATGTCGCACCTTCGGATGAATTTTATATTAATGTGGTAATTAAACCAAACACCAAAATGACAGAATTTGGGCAAAAAATACTGAAAACATCAGCATCGATGAAAGGTATCGTGAAATGGTTCAGGATGCGAGATGCATCAGAATTTTTGTCATGTTTACTGTAAAGAAACTTCTTTGGGTTCTGAAGGAACACAGACAATCTTGGGGTGGAGCCTATTTTCGTGAAATTATTCTGCAACAACATGTGATTCCATTTCTTTGTGATCCAACCAATGTTCTAGACGCGAATGAAGTTATATTTCTTCATGATAAGGTAATCTGCATGAAGGCCAATGCCACTCAGCATTTTTTGGAGGATGAGGGTGTGAAGTTCTGGGGCAATTCGCTTTGGCCCAGCAACAATCCTGATATGAACCCAGCAGAAAACATTGGCGCAATGATCAAAGATAAAATTGAAGAATTAATGGTAAGTGAAGATCGTCAAAACAGATACAATTATGTTATTCTCAAAACTAACGTTGAGAATACACTTAAGGATCTGGAAAATGGCACAGATCTTTTTATCGATTTGCTGTGTTCAATGAGGAAAAGATTCGATGCTCACAAAGCGGCAGGAGGAGGTCATACAAATTTCTGAACTTTGTCACAAACGCTTATTTGTGAGCAGTATATATTTGTAATAAATTGGAAACTCTATGGTCCACAATTTAAGTCAATGAGTGGTACAGTAGTTCTTTCTTAGATTCGAGATTGTATAATTTACGACATTTTAATATGTGATGCAAGGTATTTTAATAATTGCCTAGCTACTATTTACTCTAATTACATCCTTAGATGCAGTTTTTGATGGACATTAATCTGGTATAAAATAGTTGATTATATCATTGATTCATTAGGTTGTAAGGGAGAATGGAAGGCGTAAAGGTTTTTTTACACCCTGTAAGTATTCACTTGTAATGCATAAGTGAAAAACAAAATTATAGAAAAAAAAAATTTTTTTGAGTTTAACCGACTGAATGATCTAAATAAAGAATAATAATTTCAATCAAAAAAAGATTTACTTATATTAAATACCATATTGATATGAGCTGAAATTAAAAAAATAAATAATTGCAATTAAAAAACTATTCATTTCGATGTAATTAAATCGTAAAAACTGACCTAAAATGAAGAAATAAGTATAATTTAAATAAAAAAGAAACCTATTTCTAAATTAAATTGTTACGTATTATTTTAATCGTAGGTAAATAAACCTCATAGCGTCGATTTTATTTTAATGGAAATAAAATGAACTATATTAAGATTAATTCACTTCATGATACTATAACTAAAACGATGCTAACAGATTAAATCATTTTGTTTTAAAATAAAACAAAACACAATAATTTTATTAGATTAGATTTATTTTAATTAAAATTAAAATAAAAGAAATATAGTTCCATTCAATTCATTTCATTTTATATTTGTTCTAAATATATGATCCTTTTAAATTAATTTTAATCAACTGAACTAAATTAAAGTATTTATAATAAATGGAATTACTAGTATGTCATGAGAAAGTGATTGGAAAAAGAAGATACTCGATGAAAGTATCTGAATTCAAACTTTTTTTTATGAGAATCAATAAATTCCGAAAAAAATTTTCCTGAGAAGAAGATATGAAAATATGTACTCGAAAATGATTAATTTGTTGTATTGAACTCGTTTTGATAAATGATTTCCTGGACAAGAATATTACTTCGAAATATGAATTTCGACACAATGTTCTTTCGACAAAACATTTTCGATCAATTCATTGTCAACAGAAGAATGTGGACGTTGTGTATAAATCTCCTCTTCGTCATACGCACTCCCGCTCCCACTCCCACTCCTATCCAGCTTCAAAATATAGAGTAGTTCAATCGGCAAAAGAAAATGAAGTAAAAAATGAACTATATTTTAAGAACTATTTGAAGACCGTAGTAGCAGTTTTGAGTATTGTCCAAACTTCTGCATAATCGAACAAGAAAAAAGTTTATGTATTGATTTGTGAATAATTTTAACCCAGTCGAAAAATCCATCTGTTAACCATATTATGTCGACCTGCTAGCACAATCTTGTAGAAGTTCGATGGATAGTTCTGTATATCAATCATAGCTGTTTTCTTATCTATTGGTACTGTTCCTATTAGATGGTAATGATCGGTCGTTCCGTTCTTGAATGTATTGGTAGTCGAAAGCCATATTGTCACGTTGCCAACATGATCGAACGCTTTCCAACGAAACTGGATACTATTACCAAGCAAATTTACCTCAGGTTCGGCCAATGAAATATTTCCAATCAATGGAACTCCATCAAGCTCTCGAGCAGATTTCAATGGAATGGAGATACCTAGAAATCGTGTCATTGTTGGCAATAGATCAACGATAGCAGGTTGAAAATCATGAAAATAATTGTTGGTGCCTTGCTTATTGATGACTATCCAAGTCGTACGTTCCCGATTGGACTGTCTCCCATGGTCTAGGCCTGTAATTGGTTCTCGACCATGATCGGTTGTAATAATCACTAACCAATCCTCATTGAATTGCTTCTGTCTATACTCTACTGCTTCCCAAATGCGTCCGATCTGATTATCAAGGATAAGAATGCTTTGATTAAACTGATCACTGTCGCCAAATTTGTGTGCAACATCATCGGTATACTCTAAATAAACCCATGATAGATCAGGTGCAGATGTTCGGATACATGCGACAGTTTCATTAATCACACGCTCATCGATATCATAGATGTAATGTGCTTCTGGATCGTGTGGATAAGCGTTATGATCTAGTTCATATCCATCGAATCTGTAATCGAAAGTAATTGCACCTGCCTGCGGTAAACTCTCACCGACGAGTTTGATACGATTGTCTGTCCAAGTTGAGAAGATAGCGATCTTCTTCTGTGGTTCTTGTTCTTTCAGCAATCGAAAAATATTCTTATAATGGTAGTTAGGATTTTTGACATCGTTATTGTAGACATTGTGTTTGTTACCCCATGTACCGGTAATAAGATCCATGTAACCCGGCGCAGAAATCGTTGGGGTCTCCGAATATGTGCCATGGATTCCTCCTACATAAGCTCTTGTATATCGTCCAATGTCAATAATCTTTCGAATGTTCGTAACCGAAACAGCTTCAATAACATCTGCAGGAATACCATCTGCAATAACGAACAGCACCTTCTTTGTTGATTGCTGAACAGTAGTGATGTCAGGTTGGAATCTATCTGAAAAACCAAAAGGCATTTTTATTATTCATCAGTGATTCTTCTTAAGAGATGTTCTCCTGCTAGAATCTATTTCATGCACTGTTTGTGCGAATGATGTTATTGGGTTAGTTTTATATTCGGTATATTTACTACTCCTATTAAATTCTCCCAGATGAAACATGTAATCGTGGAGAGCTGTTTGTTGAAAAAAATTCGTTGCTCAATACAAATATACACTGATTAAGCAAGCTTCAGTAAACATTTCGTATCGTTGCAATTCCTACCTGCTGAATTTGCATTGACTGATACTTCAGTTTTATTCACTTTTGACTCTTGAGCATGTGTCGTTGCTTTAATACGAATAATAATGAAGATCAACATGATAATGATAGCGATCACAAAAAGCACCAAAGATACAAGAATAGATATCTTTATCACTTTTCTGCGCTTTGTCTGAGAATGAACATTACTTTCATTGATTTGTTGCATATTTTGTTCAGGAAAATCTTTATTGGTATTGACTGTAGTAGATGTTGTTGCCAATAGAGGATTGTTCTCCGTTGCAACTAATAATTTATCTGATGGTGGACCTACAACGAAAAAAACAATATTTTTACATTCTTCACTTTAAATCTTTGAGATAGGCCAACTTTAATGCGTAGGCATTTTCGAACAACAATAGAATTATCAAGTAAAAAAAGAATGAGATCAGTTTTCTCAATCGGAAATTCTATAGATGGTGATTTAGACAAATAAAACTACTAAATATCGAAAAATTGACCTTACCATTATTATCACGATTGAAGAATACTGGAACAGAATCGGCAGGCATTGTAATAAATACGAGAAACAGAAATAAAAAGTGACAAGACGCTGATCTACAATTGGAAACTAGGATATAGTAATAGTATGCTAATAGATATCCACTCTTCGCATTTTGGTCACACAATACTCATTTGTATGAAACGTAGGAGCAAGAGGCTTGATGAAAGAAAATTGACGGTGTACAATATTCATATACATCGCCACGTGTGATCCATGATATGCTCCGTTGATTCTCGTTGCACTTTCTTATTTCTACATTGTGTGACTCATTGTGATAGCTTGATTGTCATTTTCTATCTATACCAAGCTTCTACATAGTGAAGAAAGACAGTATAACACAGGCTCATTCTCATTCGTCCAATCAAATATTGTCTCCTTTACTACAGTAGAGATGGACATACTTTTCAGCTTTGATGACCTATATGAAAATTTAATCAAAAAAAGCTCACTTAATGTAGCTTAAATTTCTCGCTTAAAAGCGCTTGCAGTTGCATCTTTAAGCGCTTTTAAGCACTGGATTTCAACGAACGAACATTCGTAGATGATTTGCTCTGACTGCCATCATAATGTGCCTGTATGCAGAGTACCACTAGAATATCATAATTCTAAAAGGACTCTGGATCTTGCCCATATTTGATTCAGATAATGACTTCTTACCAGACTTCTCAAGTAGCAACTTTATGTACGCAAAGGCCTTAATGAGACTATTAAATATACAAAATTTCATTAATTTTGAATATTGCAATGTCAGCATATGGGTTTCTCAAAATATCTGTATTTTGCACAATACCTACAAGTGTACATTTTTTGAGAAATTCATATGTTGCTATTGCAATGTTCAAAATAAATGAAGTTTTGTATATAACATCATCTCATTGAGGTCTTCACGTATACAAAGTTCGAAGTCGAAGTTCAAAAATATGTTTTTTTTCATAAGCTGTTACTTGAGAAGTTCGGCAAGAAGCTATTATCTGGATCAAATATGGATAAAACTCAGCCAGACAAAAAAAATCTGCTAAAATTTTAATGAAAATAAAACCACGAAAAGCATACATTTTTCCGATTTCGTTTTCGTTCAAGAAACTTAACGCGTTTTTACAATTTTGATTTCTAAAATAAGGAAGTTGTTCTATTCATAGACTTAGTTTGCATAAAAAATAGTTCAGACAAGTTCTTAGTTATTAGAAATTTTTTATCATCTTTTAAGAATGTCCTATTACTTTAATTTTGTACTGCAAGAATCTCTAGTTTGTGATAGAGATTCTTACAGTACAAAATTAAAGTAACGTCTACGATTTATTTAAAAAAATCTTTTAATTAATAAGCAAAAAATGTAAATATTTTTGTAAAAAAAACTCTTTGACTAAAATAATCTGTAATATTTTTGTTTACATTCGACTCAATTTTATTGTGATATTATAAGTTCATCAATTAGATACATGAGGAACATAAAAGAAAGAGAAATAAGTACATTTTCTCACGATGCATTAGTTTGATTGTTGAAAAAGCAGAAGATAGGAAAATATGTATAGACTCAAGAAGGAGACAATAAACATGAAAGACCATGGTTGTTATCTGTATTATTCGCGAATTATGTTTGAAGAGAACGAAAGAAGCTAAGATTGTTAAAGTGTATATTCATTGAATCTTTCAATCGTTTATAGCTATCGAAGTCGAATTTTTCCTATTAGATAGAGCAATGTCGGGGAACATCCATCTATGTAACATTCATTAAGTTCGAAGAAGATTTTCTGGAACATTTGCAAGCGAACATTTTTTCGTTGTCCATTTCTACAAATTTTCGTAGCAACCTAGGTTCAAATTTCACCAAAATGTACCCAAAGAGTGTTGTATTCCCTATATAATTATTCAACTTTTTCATCCTCATCCTGGACTCATGCTTCAAGGGAAGTGTTTTGAAATTTGGAAATTTTATGGATAATACAACTCTCTCTGGGCTACATTTTGGTGTAATTTGAGCCGAGGTTGCTATAAAAAGTTGTAGAAATGGACAACGAAAAAAATGGTCACCTGTAAATGTCCATGAAAAACTTCTTCGAACTTAATGAATGCCACATAGATAGACGTTTCTGATATTGCTCTATCTAATGACGAAAACCCGACTTCGATAGTTATAAACGATCGAAAGTTATTCAAAAGATGACGATTGATTGTTTCAAAAAAAAAATTCTACAATAGCTACTTTTAATGATCTGTCAAACTATCTGTCTATCTATTAGCTATTTGTCTGAAAACGTAACAATCTACTTAATTTATTATCCATTCATACGTCTATCTAATAAATGTTTATTTCAGATTTAAGCGTACATTGACTTTTTTTGGAATAAAGAATAAGAACTACAGTTTGGTTTTTCATCACTCTCTATAATCTGCATTGTTCTATCTTTTTACACAGTCAACAACGAATTCTCTTACTTATTGTATTAGATAATATAACCAGCCTTCAAGACGATTCCTATCTGACCTAGATAAAATATGAATTTTCAAGTGTAATATTGTGGTTAGCAAGACCAACATCTCTGTTCATAATTTTTCAAAACTTGAAGTTATCAGAAACCTTTGCAAACATTATATTACAATTGGAAATACATTTTAATCTTCATTGGATGAGACAATCTTTAAAACTCACCAAGTACTTAACAAGAAAGGCAGCAGAATTTTCCACCGATTGTAAATAGTCTTAGGAACCTATAAACTGTTTAGTTCTTACTATTGTACATCTATTCAAAAAAATGCCTTACCTGACTGTCGACCTAGCTACTTTTCTAAACGTCTGTTTTGTTAAATATCTGACTATTTATCTCATTATCTAACTATTTAACTTGGTAGTTGGTAAACCTAAATTTGGTTGACAGATAAAATGTTGAAGTATAAAAATATTATCACAACAAATAAATCAAAATCAGAGGGAAGACGAATAACAAAGTTTTTCTTCCATATTTTCATCATTCGACATATCTGCTTTCGATAGTCTTACTTTCGATATTTAACATGCGATAGTTTCACATTCGACATTGGTTGTGTAAATTTATTTAGTTAACCATATACTAACCTACCTATCTATTTGTCAATCTATATATTTATCTTTTAATGATATAAATATTTAAGTAGTCTATTTATCAAAGCAAAAAGAGTACCTTGAAAACGATGTTTCGTGCGGTGAAATGTAGAGAACACACAACGTAAAGTGTATTGAATTAAAAAAGTAGGCAAATTGTGAATTCAACAGAAGAAATCAAATATTATGCAAATGCAAAGATAAAACGAAAAGGTTGTAATAATGTTTGCAAGATAAGCACGATTTATTTTAATGCTTTAAAAGATCAGTTCAAAGAGCATGAAATTTGATGTTTATTATTGACATTTCATTCTAGTTGAGAAGGAGTTCAATCAAGTGCGAAAAAAAAAGATATATATATATAGACACGGGCAAGAAAGACAAAAAATGATATTTAAATTCGAGCACAAGAATGTTGCCTTTAAAATGTCTTCTCTATCTCATTGCTTCCACAGCGGATCATAATGAATATGTATATAAGAGGAAACGAAGTAAATTACCTAGACTGCTTTATACAGATGAGAAAAATTCCATGAGCGCTGATCTGCATGAATAAATAAATTGGATCCAACTGGTCATCCGATCAGACACTTCGATGCGTTGATTTAAGGCTACCGTGAGCATCGAAATGGAAAACGAACCCTTGGATTCTCACTTTCCGATAGATCGAGGGCTCGGCGACAGGTCAGTAAAACATGGAGTTTTCGATCAGTCGAACGATTTTTATCGAGGGGATCAAAATTTGATCAAAATAAAAATGATTTTTTCCTATAGATGCCTCATTCTTGAGCCGTCGAAATCTATCAAATAAACACGGAGGAGTAGATTCGCACATTGATACTTACTATTAACATTCGTCGAACATCTAAACCAAATATGAATTATTGTTCTTCTATGAAAGTTATCTTTTCATTCTTGGGAAGATAGTACTTTCAAGGTTGTTATTTTAACATTTGCTAACAATTTTTGAAAATTAAAAAACTTTTTAATCGAATAAAAACATTTTTTATGTGTCTATAACTATAGAAAACGACTTTTTGGAGCCACAGATGCCATATAAGTACCCATATTTGATAAATATGGCATTCAATAAATATTTGATTTATGTGATAAAGTGTAAAATCAATATTTAAAAAATTTTTCAAATATTCAGAACGCAAAATTCGTTATGGCTGTGTTCTTCGTCAAAAACGACTATGGATTCCCGTCATACTTGTTATTTTTCATCAATTAATGTTAAATTGTTTTTTAGAAAATTATGAAATAAAGGAAAATATATGTCGAATATAAATCATTCTAGTAAGGTAGCTAAATGAAAGAGACATTTGTAAATTATTTTTTGAAGAAGTTTCACGAAATAAAAATTAACTTACTACTTGAAACTGTTATTTTGCTAGACTTACTTCTACTGAAGCACTCAATATTATGCTTCTGATATGTTTCTTTTCTCGAGTACTCGAAACTTCGATGAGTATCTAGGGATCTAAAAGTGCTTGAAGAATCGAAAATGAATGTTCGATAGGATGAAATTTTTGAGTGGTCGGAATTCGATGACTGCCACGGCACTCGAAATCAGAACAGAACGAACTAAAAATATATATTTCAAATTTTCGCGCACTCATTACACCCATTGTATGCTTTTGAAAGTCTGCTCGAGGAGAAAGATTCGATATAATAAAATGGTGTGTCACAGCGCATTCTTATAACATATACTCCGATCCTCTTTATTCTCTTTTCTTTGATATTTTCGTTGCTGTTATTTCGTTTCTATTGCTTTTTTTGACCTTGATTAACCTTTGCACTCTTTTCTGTTTTGTTCTTGCTTTTCATGTGCATATATACACGTTTGTTTTCTCAAAGAATAAATAGAGACAGAAGAAAACACGTACATCTTTAACTGTGTTCATTACTTTTATTTCCAATCATTT